CACTTTGGTTCTCCCTCACACATCCAACCCCACTGGGGTTGGATGCCATGGTACAGGCCTGGCCGAGGCTTCGCCTGTACGCATTTCCCCCCGCTCTGCTCCCGGGAGTCCTGGAGAGGGTCCGTCAAGAGGGCATCAGTCTACATTCTGGTTGCCCCGAGGTGGCCGACCCGAGTATGGTTTTCAGACATAATATCACTCCTGATAGCTTCGCCATGGCAGATTCCTCTGAGGAGGGATCTGTTGTCTCAGGCAGAGGGCACAGTCTTCCACCCTCACCCAGAGCTGTGGAAGCTGTGGGTCTGGCCTCTGAGGGGGTTCAGTACCTAAATGCTGGTCTATCAGCTGGAGTAGTTGAAACCATACTTAGCTCTAGGGCTCCATCTACTAGGAGATTATATGGCCTCAAGTGGAATGTGTTTTCACTTGGTGTAGAGAACATGAGTTGGACCCAGTTAACTGCCCGGTGGCTTCAGTTCTGGAGTTTCTTCAAGATCGTTTCTCTGCGGGTCTCTCCCCTTCCACGCTTAAGGTGTACGTGGCTGCCATTGCGGCTTTCCACTCACCTTTAAGTGATGGGCCTCTGGGGAGGCACCAGTTGGTCATTTGTTTTCTCCGTGGTACTTGGAGGATGAGACTGGCAACCAGGTCCAGGGTTCCTGCCTGGGACCTGGCAATAGTTCTGGAAGGGTTGTCCCTGGCCCCCTTCGAACCTCTACAGTCGGCTTCGCCTAAGGACTTAACGCTGAAAATGGTTTTTCTCTTAGCTATTACCTCACTTAAGAGGGTGGGAGATCTCCAAGCCCTGGTACACCAGCTTGCTTGGAGTTTGCCCCTGGCAGAGTAAAGCTTTTTTGCACCCGAGTCCGGGCTACGTGCCTAAAGTATCGAATACGGCTCGGTCTACAGTTCTTCAGGCATTCCATCCTCCACCTCATGTGTCGGCAGAAGAAGAGAAGCTTAATTTGCTCTGCCCCGTCAGAGCTTTAAGGGTGTACCTTGAGAGGTCCTCTTCTTGGAGAAGGTCGGACCAATTATTAGTATGTTTTGGGTCACCTAAGAAGGGGCTCCCGGCATCCAAGCAAACTATTAGTTTTTGGATTGTTCAGGCTATTACTGAGGCTTACAAGGTGCGCGATTTGCCTTCACCTTTAGCCGTGAGGGCTCACTCAACTAGAAGCATGGCTTCTTCTAGGGCCCTTCTTTCGGGAGTTCCTCTACAGGAGATCTGTGAGGCAGCCGGTTGGGCTACTCCACATACTTTTATTAGGTTCCACCTTCCTAGTACGCCTGGCACACACGTGCTCAGTCCTTGCTGAGTGCCTAAACAGTTTCACTCCGGGACAGGCCTATTCGGTGCGTGGCCTAGTGGGCACTCGTTCCCCAAAGTGTCGATTCTCGACGCAGTGTAGAGTTCCCTCGAAAGGGAACGTCTCGGGTTATGACTATAACCCTTGTTCCCTGAGAAGGGAACGAGACACTGCGTCGTTCTGCCACGCCCCTTGAGGCCTTGGAGCGTCTTGCTTCATCGCGAGGCTAGTGTGTGTTGTGACAGTGTCACTTTTATACTTCCGGGTATGCCGTCACATGTTACGTCACGACGCAACACCAATCAGGATTGGATTAGTTTCATTCATACTTCAGAGGCGCACGCTTAGGGAGCGTCCCCAAAGTGTCGATTCTCGACGCAGTGTCTCGTTCCCTTCTCAGGGAACAAGGGTTATAGTCATAACCCGAGACGTTTTGAAACACATAGTTAAAAGTACATGTGTGAATGTTTGTTAGCACTAACTGTTACTAAACTAGCAGCTAGGTGGAGCGCATCTTAACGTTACCTTTGTCCGGGTTACTGTGTTCCCACTGTTTGCCGACTCTTTGTTGGAAATTTCATATGGATCCAAACCGTTAAAAGTGCCGATTTTGTCCACATACCGGTCCCTGGTTTCCCTATTTAACGTATCCCGGTAAATTCCACATCCTTTTAGGGATTTTAACATCTTTTTTTCTTTTCTTTCTCCCAACTCTGCTGCTTCTCCTCGTTCGACTTGCTGTATGTTTACATTCGCGAAGCTGTCAACATGGCGGCCACGCCAAGTTATGACGTCACGACGACCAAGCCCTATTCTGGCATACTACTTTTGTCACATACTGTTTTCCGTTTACTATATAGTAGGGAAGTATGCGATTTTGTGAAGTATGCAGCTCTAGTCACTTTGATTTTAATTACATTTTTGTATGTATTTTTTTAAAACAATGATTGTGAATATTAATTCATAAAAACTATATTATATCATGGGAAGTTTTGTGGAATCACCACCATATTGCATTTTACAACCTGAACTAGCCTTGCATTTTCGAGAAAAGGTCACATGATTAGATTTGGCTGCATCTGAAATTACATTCTTCCCTACTATATAGTAGATGAAAAACAGTATGTGACAAGAGTAGTATGTCTGGATTCACAGTATTCATAAAAGAGTAGGCAAAAAGATTCTGAAGTGTGCATATGATGGGACGCTTCACTATCCCGTGAGGCCACAGGAGAGGATTGTGAATGGCAGTGAAGTGATGCTGCCAGGTCACATGATCATGACAACATGGCATACATACTACACACATTCATACTATATCGAAAATACTTTTTTAGTTGTAACAAAGTTATCACTTATTCAAAATCAGTGCCTACTCCTGAAAGTTCAGGTCGTGACTTTTTTACACAGTCAAGTTTTTTTTAATTGCACCGTATGACTTTGATTTTGCTGGCAAATGTTTTTCAAGCATTATTTAGCACTGAAGCAGTTTTTTTTTTGTCTAAGAAATAATAATAGACAGTTATACCAATTTAATATGGCTTTCTTTTTGAGAATTATGTTCTTTTAATGAGACTTGGTTCCCTTCAGAATTTTTTGAAAGAAAAGAGCATCATAACTCAACCGTCAATCCTTTCTGCTGCTGTCCAACCTTTAAGATATCCCAGATTTGCAGGAGAAGCACTGGTTACTCTCTGCAGTCTGAAATATCTTAATTAGGATTTATTCATTTGTAGTGGACACACATGGAGTTTACAATTTGTTTTACATCAGCGGGCCTTTATTTCCGAGCCGGAAGCCACACTTAAAGAGCGCTTGTCTATTAAACCGACATGAATTCATCGAGCGCACGAGTTGATTAGTGCAGAATGTGTTGAATCACTTAGGTAGCACAACGTCCTCTTGGAATGAAGATCAACAATGATTGCTTTGGTTTACAACAGAGTGAGTGAGCAAATTCTCATTGCATAAAGGCCAGAATGTTTTCACGCTCTGTAATATCGGAACAAACGCTCCGCCAAGCCTCTCGCTGGCAAAACAAGACATTTTAACAGATGGTTGCTTCAGCGTGCCACTTGATGAATGATACCATATGCCTCAGATTGCCACAGTAAAGATTATCACCATTACGAGCGCTTGTTCGCGGGTTTCGTTTGTTTGCTTGTCGGTGTTTGCTCATCAAGTGTGCCAACAACTGGTGTGTAATATCTGAGCATGTGGGCGCACATGTGTTTATGAATGCACGGCTTCTTCTGCGCGCACCTTCTGCTTTGTGAGCGAAACCCGCTGATCCTCGGGAAAAGGTTGAAACTGCTGCAATTTGAAACCTTGTTAGAAATTTATGAAGTGCTAAAATGTTTGGTCCCGAGGGAAAACACTGCCAGCTGTCACTGGTGAGCCATTTACTGCCAAGCGGAGATTGGCGCTCAGATACGGCCCGTGGCACAGCGGCGAGGAGATTTTCATCAAGACACGAGCGAGATTTAGCAATTAGCAGGAAGTCATCCATCTTGAACTTTTCCTTGGCTGTGATTAGCTACATGATGCCATGTCAGATTGTGTCAGTGTCTTAGTGTTGACCTTTAATACTCTCCGTATATATTTAGATATGCACTGTATGCGTTTGTGCTCATGTCATATATTTGCTATGATATTACATTAATATCTACTGCCAATTTAATCGGGGTTTTTTTACAATTTACAACAAGGTTTCATTAGTTAACCATAGTTATGAATGAACAATACTTCTGCAGCATTTACTTAGTAATATTATTTAAATCAAATGTTGTATTTGTTAACACTGTGTTAATGCACCGTGAACTAACACGCACGGTGTCGAACGCCTGTTTGATTTATATTAATTAACATTAACAAAGATTAATAAATACTGTAACAAATGTATTGCTGAAAGTTAGTTCATGTTAGTTAATATATCAACAAATCAGACCTTATGGTAAAGTTTTACCATATTTTTATACATTTGAGCTACAGTTGGTTTCTGTTTAACTTAATTGTAGAAAAGTACTGTTTATAATAATAATAATGAATTAAAAAAATGATTTGTGGCAAAGTATTTTCTACATAATAATTGTCATTTTATCATCATCATTTTATTAGCATTTAAAAATCGATTTTTCATCATCGTGATTTTTTTTATCCCACCCTAAACATATTTTATTTATTTATTAAATATAGTTTTTATCCCATCAATTGCCCCAATTTTTTTTTATAATTCTGTCCTAATACTGCAGTTTAGATTGTGCATTTCCTAAATGATTTTTTTATTTAGTCTTCTATCTAGGTATAATTATTTAAATCAGTTTTAATGTTAAGTAAAGTAGTTTAGATAAGTATGATAAGGTACCGTAAATAGTTTCCAAACATTTTTTTTTTTTTTACTTTTCACCCCACAGTCTTTATTGATCAATAAATGAACGGGGAAATAAAAAGGAGTACTGTGAATGGGGTGTGTTGCAAGTCAGATTCAAACTTGCTTTGTCCATATGAGCTCAGATTACTTAAATGTTTGTGCTAATCGCTAGGTGCTAACATTGGAAGTTTACACCTGAAAAGAGCCACTTGGTCACAGTTTTCTGCCTTTTTTTCCCCCGCATTACAGTCTCATTAATGCTCCTCCATCCATATTACAGTTCTCACTCACTAACTCTTGTCCTGTCTTTTCCTTGACAGTTTTCGGTGAAGATCTACGTTCCAGCTTATATTTTGTCAATGCATCTCTGCAAGAGGTAGTGTTCTCCAGCACCACAGGGGCACTGGTGCCGTGTCCCGCCGCGGCCGTGCCCCCCGCCACGCTGCGCTGGTACCTGGCCACCGGGGAGGAGATCTACGATGTCCCAGGCATCCGCCATGTGCACCCCAACGGCACGCTGCAGATCTACGGATTCCTGCCGTCCAGCTTTAGTAACCTAATCAATGACAATACATACTACTGCACAGCGGAAAACCCATCAGGGAAGATCAGGAGCCAAGATCTACACATTAAGGCCGGTCAGTCAGCTCAACAGAGCAAAAATCATAATTAAACAACATGAAACCCACTGAGAAATCTGTTTTATTATTATAATAATAGCTTTATCGTTATCATTTATTTAAAGGATTGGTTCACTTCAGAATTAACATTTCCTGATAATTTACTCACCCCCATGTCAATCCAAGGTGTTCATGTCTTTCTTTCTCCAGTCGAAAAGAAATGAAGGTTTTTGAGGAAAACATTCCAGGATTTTTCTCCATATAGTGACTTCAACAGGAACCAACGGGTCGAAGGTCCAAATGCAGTTTCAGTGCAGCTTCAAAGATCTCTACACGATCCCAGCCGAGGAATAAGAGTCTTACCTAGAGAAACCATCGGCCATTTTGCGCCACACATTACGTAATCACGTTGAAAGGTCAAGCGTGACGTAGGCGGAAGTACCGACCTGGTGTTTGCAAACCACCCGTAAAAAAAAAAAAAAAAAAAGATAAAAAAAAGATAAAACAACGATATTGGACAATTTTAAAGTTGGAGGAGTAAATGAGATGGAGTTTTACACCCTATCCTACATTTTCCGCCTGACCCTTCCAACGTGATTACGTAATGCGTGAAGTCGTGGACATACAAGACGAGCATTTGTGGTTAAAAATTATATAAATGTGTATTTTTTTCAATGGTTTGGCTAGATAAGACTCTTATTCCTCGGCTGGGATCGTGTAGAGATCTTTGAAGCTGCACTGAAACTGACATTTGGACCTTCAACCCGTTGATAACCATTGAAGTCACTATATGGAGAAAAATCCTGGAATGTTTTCCTCAAAAACCTAAATTTCTTTTCGACTGAAGAAAGAAAGACATGAACATCTTCATGAAATGAAATGGGGGTGAGTAAATTATCAGGAAATTTTGATTCTGAAGTGAACTGATCCTTTAACTCTTGGTTCTTATGTACAGCAACAATAGATACATAAATAAATAAATACATAAATAAATAAAAAGCAAATATTACATACCCTTTGAGTTTTTCAAATCTCCTACAGTTCGGCGTTGGTTAAAAGTGCTCGTAGAGCTATGCTTCTGTGACAGCTCTAAGATAGACAGATGAAAACACTGAAATATTAATGCATTTTTGCTTAGGTCAGTCATGTGTGGAGAAGACAATGCTGGAATTTGGGTCATTTATATTTTTTTACACTTCAGCCAACTGAACCAACCACACTCTTAGAAAAAAAGGTTCCGTTGGGCTCTATAAAGAACCCTAGGGTTCGCGACTCAATTTTAAAGAGCCCTTAATACTAAAAAGGTTCTAAGGAGAAATGTCTTAAATCATTGTAAAATGCTTTCACGTTTAATGGGTTATTTTTTATTTTTCTTTCTTGTGGTAAAATGTGTTTACAAGCTGTTTAATTCATACGATTAAAAAGGAATTAAGACAAAATTAATTAATTAAAACTAAATCCATAAAATTCTCCCATGATGGTAGGCTCTAAAAAAGATTCTATTTATGAAGCGCCTGACCTTTAAGGTTCTATTTAGAACCTTATCTTCTAAGAGTGCAGCAATAGACCTTATTCACTGCAGCGCCATTTTGATTTTTAACGGGAATGAAAGCGAGGCGGTGAGGGACAGACATGCATCTCATCAGTGGGTTGTACTGTTATTTAATGTGTTTTTGGATGGTTTTGCTGACGAAACATCTTTCCAAGAAGTTCCAGTAGACAAAAAACTCCAGACAACATGAGCTGTGGAAAATTATAAGTGATATAGAAGCTTTATACAGCTTTTTACTCGCTTTCATACCTATCATGGCGCTGCTCTGAATAAGGTATATATTTATTTCTTATAGCACAAATGTTTGCGATAAATTGTGATGCGCTTTATTTGATTGCCTATATTGCACACTTTAGAATATTACTATTTATTCATTTAACAGAATATAATTATGATATTTAGCCTTTAGACAGAACCTGATTTCACCAAATGCAACATGTTTCTGGATCAACCAATCAGATTTGAGAGACAAGTTTACAGTTTATGTCTTTATGTTTACTGTTTATATGCGAAATCAGGACGTGGATAGGTTTCTTAGAGTTCACACTTTCAGTTAGTATGTTGAATTTGTAAGAACAACACTGAGTAATGACCCTGTTTTCTGTACAGTATTCCGGGAGCCGTACACAGTGCGTGTGGCCGATCAGAGAGTCATGCGGGGGAATACGGCCGTCTTCAAGTGCATTATCCCGGCCTCAGTAGAGGAGTACGTCAGTGTTGTATCATGGGAGAAAGACACAGTCTCACTTGTCTCAGGTAGGGCTGATCTCTCACATTGCTTTCGATTGAGACTTTCGCAGGGCAACACGAAAGGCAATGAAAACATCAATATCACTGCCTTTCTTTTGCACATTTTTTTAGTTCATAGTTCACCTTCTAGCATAAATGTTGTGTCTCAATCGCCCAACGTTGAAACAAAATGGGTCGCTCAGCATGTTCATTTTGATCTGCCTCAGCTTTTTTTTCGAAATAGTTGAGTTTGCTTCACGGTTTCTGTTTGTTTCAACCCTTCGATTGGCTGGTACCCTCTTTTGCTGGATGTGTCACGAATGGCAGCATTTAGGAAAGTTCAAGTGTGGTTTGTGGCTTTAGACATGTAAAAGCTACTGTAAAAGTTGATCCAAGTACATTCACGAGTCATTCGGAGCCCTAAGATTCAAAGAATCTGGCCATGGACGTCTTGTGAGCTTTGAAAAATCCATTCCCTCACCAATCAATGTACATCACCAGTTATAACTAGCTGACGACATCTCCATGGTAACAGTCTGGTCGGTGGAATATGGAATACTATGCATGATATTCCTCATACCTTTGTGAATGGTTCTGTAATTACATGGTGAGTTTCATTTGTAAGGATGAATAACTGTTTTATCTGACGTGGTCGCAGCACATGCCGATATCGAACCGTGTGCAAGATGTCAGAAGCATTAAACCTATCCGACGCTCATCCCTCGCTAAATATTTAATGACGAAGGCCCTCTGACGCGAGGCTGAAAGCTCTCTGGCATGTGAGGCTGAACAATTGTTTACTCTTGCAGAGAAATGGGCTTTGTGACATATACAATGAGATTTTCTAGGCTGGGATGTGTCTGGGCTTCTTTCCTTTTTTATTTTTCATCAAGCAGGTTTTGTGAATATTTATTGTTGTTGATGTGGTCAGCCTTAAGAAACACAGTAGCATGCTTTTAGGTTAGTCAAAGCAAATTTGGAGCATGTATTTCATAGAACGGGAACAAATGTACAGCCCGTAATCAATCCGGCTGTAATCTCTGGGAGACTCTACAGGATTTACATTTAATGGCTTTGGCTTGATGTGGCTTTTTTGGTAACACTTTAATTCTGATGATCCCCAAAAGACATTCTACTGACTATAAATAACTTTGCAACTTATTCTACTAGTACTAACCCTTCCAGTCTACTAATACTCAACTAATATTAGTCAACTAATAACTCTAATAAGAGTTAGTTGGCATAGTTGCAACTAGAGTTGTCAAAAGTACCGACTTCGGTACAGAGTACCAAATTTGAAAAATGTAACGATAATAACATTTCACTCCGGCATTTAGAGATTCTTAAACACCTCTGTTTCGCTCAACATATACGTCTCTGATTGGCTACAATGATCAACAATGACATCTTTGACAAATATATGTTGAGCGCATGAACAAAACGGCCAATCAGAGACATGCATGTTGAGCGCATGAGCAAAACGGCCAATCAGAGACATGCATGTTGAGCGCATGAGCAAAACGGCCAATCAGAGACACGCATGTTGATCGCGTGAACACAATGGCCAATCAGAGATGTTTAACCCTCTGGGGACGGATTGGGCGCTACCGCCAAAAATGGCATACTTATACAAATGTGTAAATAACTATTAATGATAGAGAGGTGCGGTCTTTTTTACCGTCTTCCTCAGATTCCGCTGAAAACAGTGATAACTTACCCGGCTTGTAAATATACACTCTTCCTTGTTGCGCAATACCACTATGTAAAAGGCCAATGGAATCGATGTTGTTTGGCAGATTCCGCGAACAACAACCAATGGAAAAATTGCCGATGGAGAAATATTTTTCTTACCAATCAGAGGAAGGTTACCATGACGTTTCTAACAAATCAGAGGACTCTGTAGCGTTGCAAGGGGTGGTACTATATAGTTAGGGATATGACGCAAACAGCGTTGAATGGAGAGAAGGAGAGAGAGCGAACGGAGGCTTACGGAGCGGATTATCAGAGAAATATGAGAGAGAGACAGAACAATTATAATATATTTATATATACAATTATAGCATTATTTATTGTTTTAGCACTTTTATGATGGCAAGCAGTAAACAATTTACGGTGGAACAAGCTCTGGAACATTTACTGGAGAGTGACGAGGAGAAAGCATTGCTTAGAAAATTCTAAGCATTCCTAAGAAAAACGCCTGGGACTATTTGTTACATTTTTCATTGTTCTTTACACATTTTATTTAACAATTACACATGTGATGTGTGATTTTCAGAAATAAATGACAAAAATCTAATTTCCGTTTTTGAACTTCTCTAGTTTATTGTAAATTTTTCACTCATACTTCCTTTATAAACACATTACATGCATTCTTATGTTAGCTTAGGGTCTTCTGAATCCATAGATACCAAACACATAGTGTTCCATCTCCATTACATATGGTTTATAAGGCCAAATGTAAAAATAGAGAAAACGGACCAAAAAGAGCTTAGTCCCCAGAGGGTTAAGAATCCGTTCAACAGCGCTAGAGGGAAATGCTGGTATCTTCACATTTTTAAATTTCAGAACCGACTTGGTATGAAGTCTGTACTTTTTGACAACTCTTTTTGCAAAGGTTCCTTATAGTTAGTAGAATGTCTAAAGTGGACCATCGAAATGAAGTGTAACCAAATAGTATATAGTATAAAAATAGAGTGTAAAGATGTCAGATGAGGCTAAATGTGTTAACATTTTAGGAGGAACGCTATGCAAAAATACTATATTATATATAAAACTATGCGATATAAAATACTAGATACATTAATTTGCGTAATTTAACCTAGCATAGCCTACCTTGTCCACATTTGATGAGAAATTAATTTCAATTGGCTTAAAAAACGGCTTGTCCTTTTACAGCATATTCACATTATAAACAGCTGGCATTGAAGACCTAAATATCATTTTCATACACAATAATCCATACTCAAAATCCAGCTGTAGTAAATCAGTGCCATCAGTCGCACACACTCTCGAAGCTCAGACGATACTTCAGTCGCTTTGGCCGGATCATTTGCAAATGAATCGTTCAGGTTACCAAAATACTTTTATTATAAATAATTAAAATGATAAAGAACCACGGTCTCAATACTTTAAAAAGTTATTTGTTGGCAGTTGTAGGCATGGCAACCTTTCTAAGATCTTGCCAATAGTAATTTAATGCCAGATATGATAGATTTGTATAAGAAGTGTAGATAGTGGGATGTGTCTAGATGATCTTGGGTGTGAACTTGACCTTCAGCCTGCATGTCCCAAAAGACCAGTGAATGCTGGTCATGTTTCAGTCCTTCCCAATGCACTGCAAACTCTTCGAGATCTGCCACTGTCCCTGTGTGAAATGATCCAGTCAGTTCCTGATGGATACAGCCAAGTCAAACCTACATTTCTTATTCATTGCACATCCCTCTTTACACAGACATACATCATATTGGGGCAGAAAAATGGGTTATGAAAGAATGGGTCCAAATGACATTTTGATTTCTTATCCTAGCAGCTTTGTTAATGTTACTTCACCAGATGTAATGGGATGTGGACACCCATTTTGGACTTAAAAATTGCTATAACAAACCTTAAAAACATAATAGACAGTTTCAACCTTGAACTCAAACAATGTCTATCAGTGTCTACTTTTCTACACACATTTGCACACTGTGTAGGTTTGAAACTTACTTCACGACCGTTAAAAAGTATGTTCTGTATGATTGTGTGTTGTATGAGTGTAATCCGGACGTACTACATTCGCCATGTTACTGCGAAATGGGGATTCACAAATCGTCTCCCTTGGCCTCATGGGATTTTTCCAATACTATGTATTCGGACATACTACTCTATTGGCGTACTATTTTTTGCATACTAAATATTAGGGAAGTGTTCAATTTCGGACACAGCGCATGTATTTGTATTGGTTTTGATTAAGCACTGACACTTGTATTTTTTTTAGATTAAAGTAGTTTCAAAATGTGATTTTAATGAGGCATTTGAGTTAACTTGTACAAACCAAAATGAATCATATTTTGCTAATTCGGTATTCCGAAATCCCTTAGTAATCATTTTAAAAATGTTAAATCTGCGTACGATACTGTGCGTCTGAGCAGGGCGATCGTGCTGTTAGCATGAAGCGCTCAGTCTCTCTTCTCTTGTCTGCTTAGCATAAATCAGTGTTCGGGAGTGGACGCGCGAGCTTTTCCGGCCCTATAATTCCGGCTAACGCTAGAGATTGTCCCCGCAAAATCACAGAGAAGATGAAATGCATGATTACAGAGTGGGACTTGTCTTAATTAATGAACTGTGATTGAAAATATAATTACAATATGAATTACCTCTCAAAATAAAGACTGTTCCCTAGTCATTTGAAGCGAGGGCCTGTTTTAAATGTGAATGAACGGGGCCTAATGATTCTCTAACTTACCATTAACCTGTCATGCATTTTAAAACAGACCTTTCTGTGCGCGCTTTCAAATTCATGGCCGTGGATCCGTCCCCTCCCGGCTTTTGATAAACAATTGACAGCTCTAATAAAGAGATGAAAGGCTGTGCAGGTGAAAGGGCCCGTGTGTGTGTGTGTGTGTGTTTGTGAGTGTATCTTCCTCTTTGAGTGTCCAGAGCACAGAACAGGTCCTGATGCACCTTGCAGGCTGTTTTTTGTGTGTGTGTATTTCAGGGGTTTGACTACTGAATATTGATGGTGGCCGTTTTCCTTTTGTCATCTTGTCTGTATGAGGGCCTTTTATCCGTTGGCTCACCCATTTGATCTGGTTTTAGTGACTGAAGGGATGCAAAAAAAAAGAAGCATATAGTTAAAGTCAACATGAAATAAAGCCTTTTTATTTGTCATAATACACTTATGGCCCGTACACACCAGGACGAATATCGGCGCGCGCTATTCGTCAGTGTTTTTCAACACGTTTTTTGTGTTCACACCCAAGCGATTTTCGCTGACGATGAGCCGAGTGAACATGCAAATTCATTCCCTGACATTAGATGGCGCTTAA